AAGTGACATAGGATGGGATTTTCAAAAGAACCTAAATGATTTAGGAGCCTAGAGGTAAAATTTTCAGTGGGACTGAGGATCCTAAGTCATTCAAAATTTTTATTCTCACTTATTAGAGTCTGTGCTTTAAGGGTCTGTCAGAATTCAGCAGACTTCAATGGGCTTAGATCAGGCCCTATGTGACTGTTTTTAAAATAAGGTCTCCTGAATACCCATTTAAGTGGCAGATCTGAATTTTCAAAAAAAGGCTATAATTCTCTTATGTCATTTGGTCTTTTAACTGGAATGTTAGCACCCAGGATTTCAGAGCAGATACCACTCTGCAAAGATAACATGCATTCTAATACAGTTATTGGACTCTGTTGTTCTGAGATAGGATCAATGGTTTATGACTTTGGAATATCAAATCAATAGGTTCCAACTTTCTCTTACTATAGAACTTTATTGCCACAATTCATAAATATAATACAGTCATATACCATCTGTGACGAAGTGGGGGATTTTCTTGTTTTTTCCTTGTTTTCCAATGGTTTGCATTCAGAGGAGTTGGGACTCAGTTTCCCTGGGTGTTACTGGTTTAATGAGGTGAGGGGAGAGGGAGTTTGTTGTTACAGAGGACAGGAGAGGGAACTTGGGACCACAGCCGATGGCCTGGAGAATGGATACCCCAGCGACTGGCGACCTGACGACCCGGAGACGCAGCGCACGAGTCGCAGCCGGTTCTGGCCAGTGGGAGAACAATGGACTGCAGAGTGAGGACCCAGTGACCTAACCAGCCGGTTCCAGCCAGAGGACAGAAGCGAGGAGAGGAGGCCCCAGTTTACGACCCTGTTTACCTGGAGAGAAGACAATGGACAGAGGCAGGGCCTGGAGCCGGTGATCTCAGAGGCCCAGCTGGGAAGCGGGGGGGGGGGGCGGCCTCTGGGCTGGAGAGGGGGAGCAGGCAGAGACCACCGGGATGCAGAGAGACTGGGGTGTGCTGGGCTGAGGGAGGCCAGGCCTGAGGCCCTGAGAGTTTCCTGTGCTGTGTTCAGTTGCTCAATAAACCCTCCTGTTTTACACTGGCTGAGAGTCACTCCGGTCTAGAGAACAGGGTTGCATCAACCCCTCTGGGGGGTGGAGGCCCCGGGGGTCCAGAGCGAGTGGACTCACTGAGGGGGCCCACGGTGAGAGACGGATGTGCTCAGGCTCAGAGAGGTGGAGGGGCCTGACCCCGAGAGTGGACCCCCGAGAAAGGCTGTCTCACTGAAAGGGGCACCCCCCACGGACTGCACGGGGCCAAGAGTGGGCACGATCTGTGAGTCCATGACACCATCCTACAGAGAAGCATTACTGGGGAAAGCTACAACCTAAAGTTCACGTGTACCAAACTGAGTGGAAAGCCTGCTTTAAATGGAAATGATTAATTTGAATACCAAAAGCTCTGGTCCTTAATCATGTATCAAACTTTACTCACGTGAGTGGTATCATTGCTTCAATGGGTTGAAAAGTTATGTACCTGCAGATATTTGCAGGATTGGGGGCTTAGACTGGATATCTAGAAAAAAAGATACGTACAACATCCAAATGATCAAAACTTAATATATGCCATTAGTTTAATATCCCAATAACTAAATGGCTCTGGTGTCTCAACGAAAGCTACAGTTTTACAGCTACTTCCCAACAGGAAGCCCTGACTGCAAAATTAGAGAGCTTATACCCTCCTGTCATTTCACATGCTGAGGTCCCATTGAAATCAATAGGAGAGTTTCATGGAAGTTTATGGCAGTAGGATATGGCTTCAGTTTAAAGAGCAGGTATGCTGGTAGCTTCCTGCAGATTTCTTAAAGTAGTTTCACATTTATTATATTCGATAAGAATTTTTAAAATGATACCAGGTGGTTTACATTTTTTAACAATTGGAAGTGTTTTGATTTTGTTAATTGCAATTTTCCTTTTGTGTGGCATGATTTCAGCCCCCACGAAGCCACTGAATAATTAGAGGAAGGATGGTCTTGTGGTTAAGGATTGGATTGGAGCTGAGGCGAGCTGGTTCCAATTTTTGGAACCTCCATGGACTTCCTCTGTGACCTTGAACAAGTCATAAGAATAAGAACATAAGAATGGCCATACTGGGTCAGACCAAACGTCCATCAAGCCCAGTATCCTGTCTACCAACAGTGACCAATGCCAGGTGCCCCAGAGAGAGTGGACCTAACAGGTAATGATCAAGTGATCTCTCTCCTGCCATCCATCTCCACCGTCTGACAAACAGAGGCTAGGGACACCATTCCTTACCCATCCTGGCTAATAGCCATTAATGGACTTAACCTCCATAAATTTATCTAGTTCTCTTTTAAGTGACCAAGTCACTTAATCTTGGTCTGCCTCAACTCCCCATCTATGAGGATAATCATATTTCCCTTCTCCCTTGTCTATGAAGATTGTAAATTATTTGGAGGCATAGACTATGTCCTAATATGCATAGTACAGTGCCTAGCACCGTGGCACTCTGATCTTGGTTGAGTCCACTAATTGCTACTGTAATATAAATAATATATTGGAACACATGGACTTGCATCAATTAATAAGCAAAACTCTCCTCTGAACTCAATGGAGAGTTGTGCTTCACACTGATGGATACATTCTTTATGTTGCTGTGGATCAAATAACAATTATTGCTAATAAAACTTATGGTCTTATAAAGTCATAAGCCTGATAGTGCTGACAGTGCACATTGCTCTGAAACTGGGATCAGGCTGGAGTCCCTGCGTATTAAATTGTGTCAAGATGAAGTTTTTAAACCAATGCCAAAAAGCCACTCTTTACCAGATGGCTAAACTTGGAATGAGTTTCTCTGGCACAAAGCAGAAAGGAGTCCAAGCTGGCCAGGGAAGGTTAGGAAAAAAGAATTAAAATGTTACTTTTTGAGTGGGCAAAGAGAATGCAACTCCTCCCCCTCCCCCACCATCACACCACCACCTGTCCAGGGAGCCATTAGTTTGGTTAACACAGATTCACCGTTCCCAACACATGTGGGTCTGAAAGTGAGTGTGACTATGGCAGGAAAACCTCTGGGCTCCATGATGCGTCATCTCAAGCAGGGCACTGAATAGCCTTCATCATCTGAGGGAATGAAACAAAATGGAAGAGTTGGGGGTTGGGGCAGGGGACCTATTTCTACTCCACCAACCCACTGGATGTGGCACTGTATTTTCAAAAGAGCTCAGCACTAGAGCTGATGGCAATTTTTCATTGACTTCCCCTCCCCCCCCCAGAAACAAAAGGGTCCCTGGGAAATTTTCATTTTGGCCAAAACATTCCTATCATTCAATGAAAAACAAAACATTTTTTATTTTTAAAAGTTTGTGGTTTAGTATTTTTCCTCCGCCCCCTCTCCCAGTAGGGGGGAAAAAAGACCAATAGAGGGAAAAACGCAATAACAAAAATTTGTGTTGTCAAAAAATGGGGGAAATTCTGCTTTTTTTTAAAGTTGTCTTTCCAAAATGTTCACCATAAACACGTCCCTCTTCGCCAGCTCTACTCAGCACCCAGCACTCAGCTCTGAATGGGAGCTCCCAGGTCCTGAGCACGTCTCAAAATCTGACCTCTTCATTCTAAATGGGAGCTGAGCAATTTTGAAATCTGTCCTCTAACTCTGGGCAAAGAGATTCCGCCTGGTGAAACCCCTGTAATAAGCCTTGTGCCGTCTACCGGTAAGGGTCTCTTTAGGACCTGGCTTTTTGGAACTCAGGGCAGGAGAATGGAGGGAAGAAATGGCCAGAGATAGACGGTGAAAACTCGTGTGTTACAATAAATGACTCGTCTAAAAATCTGCCTGCTCTGAGGCGCACAGTTCGGGAGCGTCCTTTGCTTGCATCAGGTGCATTCTAGGTGGAAAATCTATGCTTGTGGCAAACGATGCTGTGATCTTACAGGTTAAAAATGTCTCGTTTATTTCACATGCGCTCAGTCCCCCCAGCCCCCGACAGCCAGCACTTCGCCGCCGAGGGAGAAGAGAAAGGAATCCCCCCCGTTACTCCAAACCGCAAATCTGTTCACAAAGTCAACCGCAAAATAAACCGCAGTCAGACAGGATCAGCGTAACAAACACCGCAGTAAAGCACCGCTCCTCCCTTCTCCCAGCCCGGCTCCGCGCCGAGGAGCAAACGGGGCAAGGCGGGGGAGAAAAGTTGGGCATCTCCAAGTTGCCACCAAATCAGCAAGGCGCTAAAACACCCCTTAGGGCTCCAGCATCGATGTGTCAACTTTCCTGCCTGCCAAAGAGTTTCTCACATCACCCATCCACCCTCCCCTAACCTACAGCGCATTTAGCTCTCTCTGTGTGTGCCAGGCAGCTCCCTTCTAGTGATTAATACAATCCACCTTAACCACCTACTTCTCTAGTGCTGGAACTAGGGGAGCTGCCCTACCTCCTGGCTTGAAGTGCTTTCCCTGCTATCCAGGGTTTACAGGTTGGTTCAATGGCTCTCAGCACCCCCACTGGAGGATCTGGTCCACCACCCCTAGCCCCTGAAGCCCTGAGCACTGTTTTGTAGGTTTCACTGGACCAAGGCACCCTTTATAAACCGCATCTTGACCAGACCAGGACCGTGCCATTATTTCGGAGTGGAAGCCAATGTGTGCCTCTCCCCGCCACAAGCCCCTTGTCCGTGCTTCTGGTTTGCCAGGGAATAAACAAAACCAAGAAGGAAATGGGGGTGAAGGGCAAAAGCAGAGAAGAGCGAGAGGAGTGGGGGAAGGCGCAGCTCTCTCCCCCTTGGCTGTCCTGTGGCCATGCTGAGCACAGCCCTGTTACACAAGAGCTGCGCTCAACTTTAGCGAGACAGGGCGGGCGAGGTAATAATCTCTCCTCTGAGCAACTTGTGTTGGCGAGAGGAGACACTGCGCCCGCTCCGCGTGGGTCAGTTCCCCCTCGCTCCCCAGGAGCGAGCCCTTTGCCGCCCCAGCCCCCCCCCCCCTTCCCAAGCCCCATCAGGCCCCCAGGAGCCGGCACTCACCTGCGTTGCTCATCTCCCCCAACTTTCAGGTCTCCCGCCCTCAGATCATGGTCCTGCACGCCTGGGTCGGTCGCACCTCCTTCCCTCCCGGAGCTGGAGCGGGGTCGGTGTGGGGCTGAGAAGGGAGGGGAGAACTAGTCAGCAGTGGCCGTGGGGGGGGGGGGTGTCGGCTCAGGAGGTGCGATCCATGCTTAGCCTGGCAAGGCAGACTGGCTGCAGGCAGCTGGTCGGGTCCCGCTCTGATCGCAGCGCACTGGCCAGGGCTCGCCACCGCCTCCTCCTCCCAGGCATTTCCCTTCCTTTCCTGCAGAGGAAGCCCTTTGGCTCGCTCAGGGATTGAAAGCTGCAGTGAAACAAGGGGGGGGGGGGGCACGGATGCCAAACAAACAGATTTAAAGGGACAGCAGCTGTTCTGTCTCCCACCCCCTGTATGTCACACACACCGTTCAGGATCTTGCATACGCTCCAGGAGTGTGAATGGGGCTTGCACAAGCGGGGGGAGGGGGATGGGAAGAGAGGCTTCTCCACCCTGGTAGCGTTTGGAAAAAGAAATCAGGAATGTGGAAGTTTGTGCATGGCGCTAAAAGGCCAGGGAAACCGGCACTCTGGGCCGTTTCCTCCCCAGATCCTGCCGCCGCAGGGTGCGGAGGATTGAACGAGCCTTGCAAAGCACCGGTTGTTTCACAGACGAGCCCGGGATGTGCAGAGAGGGCGGCTCACCCACCTCCCCTGGAGCCCAGAACAGAGCATTTCTGCCCAGCTCGGCTGAGGTTCGCTCCCGGTTCCCGCACGGCACGTCCCTGCAGAGAGAACCCAAGGCACTGGAGTGTCTGTATGAAACGATCGGTAGCCACGGGTAGTGTGTGTGGATACGGGGCAAGTGAAAGGGAGTGAAAACTAGAAGGAGTTCCTCGCACAAAAGCAGCCCCCTGCCCCGACACAAGGGCAATTTAAAGGAAAGGTTTGCGTGGTCTCCTCCTGTTCTCCCCCTCTTTTTAGCTAGCCCTGCCTTCGTCTCTGTGACCAGCCTTTTCTGCGCAGAAATAACGGGGGAGACAGCAAGTCTCCCTCTTCTTCCTTCCTTCCCACCAAACGTGTCTCTATGTTCTGGCTCTAAACACGCCGTGACTCCCCAGAGAAGGAATCCGTCTGCCCCCCTCCTCTCAATAGTTGTGTGGTTTGCAGTAGACTTTGCTAAATAGAGCCCTGATCCTGCAGTCTTTACTCAGGAGAGTAAGGATTACTCGTGCGAGTGAGTGCTGTCAGCTGGGGTCCGGTGTTCTTATGTGCTATTAGCTTCAGTCCAAAGCTTCAAGACCTTGGCGTGGTTCCCCACTGTCCTCGGGAGTTTCAAAAATAAATCCGTGGGGCTAGAAAATGTCCATTCTACAAAGGTGAGAGATTTCCCACCCCCCCCCCCTAATTTGGTAAACTCACTATTATGAACTTATGGGGATAAGAGTGGAAACGCCGGGCTCTTGACCCCCTTGTAAAGGTAGGATCATCATAGGCTGCAACTCCATGAGCCAAGGGGTTTGGTGTGCAGGTAGGTACCTGCTATAGACTATAGCCCCATTCACACCCACAGGTCTCTGCACTGGTGCATCAGAGAGCAATCTGTTTGGTCCCAAAGATGGCTGGGTCTAACTTGATTTTACTGAGCAGCAGAATATGCAGATGTAAGATTGGAAAGTGAGAAGGTCAGAATACTTGGCCCCCAGGATATCTTACAAGTGACATAAATATTTTATGCACAGAAAGGATTATTTGTGTTTGGTGGTAAAAGACAAGTAGTATTACTAAAGGTGGTTTATCAGTGAGTTGATAGTGTACACTAGCTTTATTTCATGTAGCATTGTTTCATGTTTATTTTATTATAAAGCATCTAATAACAAACATCATTATTATCCGCCAATTTATAATACACAGCTGAAAAGAGAGAGACCAAAGACATTCCAAAGCATTCTTCACTGTTGTTTCCTTGTGACTGATATTAAACAGATTTCACTCTAAACAGGTACAGGTAACAGGGAAGCAAATTCACTAAACTGAGGAGCAAAACAGTTAGGACTAGACTTGTGTTGAGTGCTCCTCGGCCACTGTGGATAATCTGGTCCTGCATTGCATTCATCACTATGGTATCTGACCAGATCAGGCCCTAATCCACTTAGTCAAATCAAATCAATCTAAGAAATGTTTCCAGAACCACCAGTTTGTGTGAATCCAAAGTGTCTGATCATCTAGGGCAAAATATGGAACCTGAAAATGAGCAAACTTAATACTTGCTTTTCAAGTAGCACTCAGGTGGGTTACAGAACAGAATGTTTGGCATTTTTGCAAGAAACTAAAAATGTCAGAAAAATGCTAAATATGAACCTACATAAGAAGAAACTGGAAGTGGAAATTAAGGCCAGGGACATGATGGACAGCCAGAGACTGTAGTTATCAGGTATTCAAAGCAGAAATTATTTGAAAAATGTCAATTGAAACACATTTTTGAAGGAAAATGGCTTTTTGATTCAATAGCAATTTTCATGAAAAAAAAATCAACTTTCATGAAAAAGTGGTTTTTGGTTGGAAAAAATGGAAAACGAGCACCAAATTTCTTTGGGTTTTCAAAAGAAACAGGAGTACTTGTGGCACCTTAGAGACTAACAAATTTATTTCAGCATAAGCTTTCGTGGGCTACAGCTCACTTCTTCAGATGCATAGAGCTGTAGCCCACGAAAGCTTATGCTGAAATAAATTAGTTAGTCTCTAAGGTGCCACAAGTACTCCTGTTCTTTTTGCGGATACAGACTAACACGGCTGCTACTTTGAAACCTTTGGGTTTTCAGAGACTGAAACTTTTTGCTGAAAACAAGCAAGAAAGTGTTCTTCTCAAAATGTTTCATGGGAAAAATAATTGGTTCCTGATTAGCTCTTTAAAAAAAAGTTTCTTACTATTGAGCAATGTGAACCAACTGATTTGCAGCAGATTTACTCTGAATCAAGATGAATTCATGTCATTAGCTTGGTTATCAGATTTCATTTGGCATATTTTTAATACATTTAGGAGCTGTGCTCATTATTATTTTTCCAGTATTCATGCAAAGGGAACTTGTTCAAAGGGAAACAGGCAGTTTCTACATATTGTAACACACGAATGGAGATTTTCTTATCCTGTTTTTATAGGAGATGTCCACTGAAGCAAGCTTGGGTGTGGTTATACTGTGCATAACTAATTCTGAGCAGCAAAGGTCCTAACTTGAGCTAGACAGATAATGGAAAAAATATTTGACAGATATTTTATTTGAACAATATTGGAAAGTTAATAGAATGATTGGTGTCACAAATATTAGACCACCAGGTCTCATAGAAGCTTCTCCAGCAAAGCTTGTCCAAAGTTCTCTTCACCCGTAATGATTTGCAGTTTTCTACAGGGTAAAGAGAAGCCAGGAAAATTCACAGATCTATGTCCCAAATCTCAACAGCCTTTTCATGGACAGTGTGATTTGAACTGTCCCCCTCTTCTCTGTTTGTGGAACCAGAGTGGATATTTCTCACATACATATGAGTCTCTTCAATTGGTTTTAACTCTGCAGTTGGTTCAAGAGGGCCAGCAAATATGCCCTCCAGTCACAAAGCCCTGTTTTTTAGAATTTGAAAGGATCCTGTCCAGGTTAAAAGTGACTACAGTTGTTGTTGTTTTTTTGGGGGGTGGGGGAGGATGTGATTAATTTATTACTTTTCATAAACAAATAATGACATACAAAAAGGTAAATGACTTACAGCTTGTCTATGTTACGAGGTACCACACATTTCTCAGGATATCCAATGAAGTTATGCAATTACACAACTTTCCAACTTGTCAAAGCTGTAAGACCGGATAATACAAAATCAGGCAATTTTGCACAGCCACAGCATGTTAGGGTGAGGGTAACAACAACAACAATAAAAGACATACACAAATAGGCATCAAAAGGAAGTAGGGGACTGGAAAGGTGGGAAGAGGGAAAAGCAGAGAGGTCAGGTGGAGTGGCAGTTTGGCTTTATTTGAACTACCTCCGCATTCTTTATTCAAATGTATCAAGAAACAGGGTCCAAATTTCTTTGAATTACATAATTGTTCTCTACGTTGATAAGCTGTTCTTTCTTCCGCTGAGAATGCAGACAGGTCTGAATACTGCTGCTCTATTCTGGGCATAAGCGAACCCCTCTATTTTTGTAAAATCTTGCACTAGGGCATCATTGGGGCCCTCAAGCACCAAAGTCTTTGTGGTGGGGCAAACCCAGTGTAGTAGGTACTAACCTAGGATATCATTTTCAGCTGAGGTTTGATTGCTGACCATAGATGACTCGTGCCTCCCTATATTCGGGGGGCCCAATCTAAAGGGGAGGACACATGACTGCCCCACATGTCTCCTTTGCCCAGCGACCCCCTGCCCTGTGCCCAGCCCGGGGCTGCTGCACTCTCCCCACCCAATGTTACCAGCCGGGGGGAGGGAGGGCTCTGTCCTTCTCCCCCTGTGCCTCAGCCCCAGCATGCTCGGCCGCTCTCCCTGGCAGCCGGGCCTGGGCAGGGAGTGGAATGGAGCCACTTCTCATGCAGCTGAAGGCTGCCGCTCCAGGTCACTACTCTGTTCAGCACAGCATCTGCCTGAGACAGCCTGGCTGGGGAGATGGTAGGGGTTGCCCGCTCCATGCCAGGTCCTGGCTGCTGGGGACAGGGGATGAGTGAGCTAGAAATGTGCCAGGGGGAGAGTGGACTCCGGCTTGCACGGTCCCCATCCCCAGCAGCTGAGCCCAGGCAGGGGGTGGCCGCCACTGCCACCTCCCCAGCCTGGCTCTCTCAGGCAGCCGCCCTGCTGCACAGAGCATCAACCCAGAGCAGCCAGCGGGAGATGTGACTAGTTCCAATCCTTCTACTCCCTGCTGACAGGGACGGGCCGAGGGTGCCGGGGAGCAGGTGCAGCGGGAGAAGGACAGAGCCCCTCTCCCTCCAACTGCACCGGCAGGCCGAGCAGCAACCTGGGGGGCACTTGACCCCACATTCCCCCCCCACCACGCATTGCCTATGGCTGCGGCCAAGCACTACTTTCAGCCCTGTGTCCACCTCTTTTCACAGCTGTCTGACTCTTGGACAGCCCCACAGCATATGCATCAGGGTTCCTTTTTCTTTACTGCAGCGCCAACAACCGTCAGAGCACGAGGCCCCTGTCTCGCACAACCTCTATAGCATCCAC